ATAGGCTGCATTTGTTCACAACTAGGAAAGACTACAGAAATTGTCAACAATTTCTTCTATCTATTGCTTTTTTTGCACTTTTTTGACCATAAGCTCCTATCTACTTAAGTTTTTTTAATGCTCTTAAGCTAGGTTTTTGCAATGTGACAAGCAAAGCAGACTAAAAACTTCTTAAAGCTCATAAAAAAGACTGCAGATAAAAAGCACTAATGCTTTTGCTAGCGTTCACGCTTTGTAAATAAAAAAATCTGCATTCTGCAAGAAAAAAACCCTGCATTCTCTATAATGCAGCAAGTTTTTTTCTCAATTCAATAACTTTACTGTAAAATGCTTTAGCCTTCTAGAATTTTTTTCTGTCAACACTTAAGACAAAGTTCATAAAAGTCCCAGCATTTTTCCAATCCTTTCAGTTGCCACAGTTCCTTTATCATCAGCTTTTCTTCAAAAGAAGAAAATCATTTTCTTTTAAACTGTACAGTTTATTTTTTGTCCACCCCAAAAATTCAGTCTATTAAACTTCTGCACCAGCACCGGTGTGAGCAGTTTCAATCCATTCTCGGGTTTTCTAACAAGACGTTGACAGCTTGCCTTGAGAGCCTTTGACGTCCTTAAAATTAAGGCAATTAAGATTCAAGATAAACCTTACCTAAACATTTCTTTAAAAAAAAAACAAAACAAAACAAAACCAAAAACGAAAAATCCAAAAAACACTCTAGATTTAAAACAAGAAGAAAAATAAAATGAGAGATTAAGAGTAGCTTAATTTTTGAGGAAGACAATTGTTTTTCATCACAACTTCCTCCCTCTTGACATCATCAGTTTTTCTGTTTAAAAAAAAAAATCTAGCTACACCTCCAGGTAAATTCTGAATTCAAATGTTCGTCCAGATGAAATGTCAACCCAGCATTTTTCCTCTGGGTTTTTCCTTTAGTTTAAAAAAAAAATATAGCAAAAATAAAATTGTCAGACTACATGACGGAACCATTTGCACAGCACATAAAAACACTGTTTTGTTTTCGTTGGGAAAGGTAGAAAAAAAAAGCATTCATTTGACGCCTGTGCAAACTGGAAGCCAACTTCTTGTTCAGTGAAGTTTCTCCATTCAAGGCAAAGATTTCAGACCGACATTCTTCAGTCCTGTTTATTGTCTGTAAAAACAATTGAATTAAAGTGGTCATTAAGTCAAAACAACTTTGAAATAGGCTCCTCTCCTTTTTTTTTTTTCCACCCAATTCCCTTTAAAAGTTATCCAAGCTAAACTAACTTTGCAGCTGTTTAAATACGATACCACCACCAAGCTGAAAACAGTCGGGCAGAAATGGGGAACTCCTGCTTTGGGGAGGGTAACACATCCTAAGCAGATGAATTTACTCTTGTTAACGCTGTGCTTCACGGGCAGCCTAACTACGCTGAAATGAGATGAATACGTGCCTTAACACTGTGTAAATATTTCAAGAGTATACAATAAGAGAATGAATCTTTTCATAACAATAAGTGGCACTGTTTACTTTGGATACTACTAATAAAATGAAGGATAACATTACAGTAAAAGGATATATCCAATTCTCTAAAAAGAACCCACATTTTGATGGCAAGAACAGTTACATTGTGGATTAGTCTGCTTAATGAGCTAGTTATGGCTAACTTGGTAGAACAGTTCAAGATAATATTAATTAGAAAAAAATATTTTTGGTCATATAGTCTCAAATCTTTGTAAATTTAGAGTAGGCAATAAGCTAAAATATTAACATTTTGCTTACAGAAGATAATTCTTATTTTGTGTTTTCATGAAGTTTCATGTCATTTTAAGATAGGTCACATGAAACTTATCTTAGCAAGCCTATATGAGAACTTTGGGGAGATGTAAAACACACGTATCAACACTGCTTCATGTCTAGGGCTACCAGTTGCAGTCATTGCTTTTCCTACAATCTTCCAAACTTGCATGGAAAAAATCCTTTTCGAACTGATGTTCACCTTAAGAAAATCCAGCAACCTTCCTTTTGCAAGCACTGACACATTTACATTGTTTGGTTTTAAATTAAATTTAATATTAGGAGTTAAATTGTGAAGAATGTTGATGACACACTTGCCACAGAACTATCTGTCTGGGATGGCAGGCACAAAACTAACTTTAATTTTAAATATTAAATTTACCAAAGGACTTTTTCATTGCACAAAGCCTGAAAATTAATATTTTGAGCCTAATAACAGATTTATGTGGAAAGCAAGAATTGTTTATTCTTTTAGGATCTTCTATGCGTAATTTCCCGTAGGAGTATTCAAGTTAGATGCTCACCTCCTGACATTTTACAGCCCCTGTGGGTTGAGTGGCCACCAAATGTGTGAAAGACCAATTCCACTGAAGGGTCACAGCACATACTCTGTAATCTAATCTGGCACCGAGTTTGCCCATAAAAGGCTCCAGAAAAATGTACTTCTTTCCACATTTTAAATCAGAGTACGTAGTCGAGCAGAGTTTTGCTTAGAGGTAAGAAAGTACGCTTTTTAGGGGGAAGGATCTCCATTTATCTCCACTTCATAAATACCACATTTTTATGCATAGAATTAAAGATTTACAAGGAAAAAAGGGTGTACGAGTCTAAAATAATTAAGGTGATTTCCTCATAAAGCAGAGTCATCTCCTCAGAAACCACAGGCTGTTTCTCCTATATTGCTACACAATAGGTAGCCAGGCTTTTGACATGAAGTTACCGTTTCTGAACTTCTATCAGTGGGATAACCAAGTACTGCAGCCAGCATATTAAATAAAAGAATGTGTATGCTGATTAAAAAAGTGAACTTTTAAGTCTCGTGGTTTATTTACTTACAAAGGGAGTACAGAGTCCTTATACCACCCAGCTCATTCTGAGTACATTGCCTCTCCTTCGTTGCCTGCAATTTTATGATTGTTGCAAAGAAAATAAATATAATGAAATACACTGTTATAACTTTTCTCCTGACTGATTAGCTCCTATGAAATAATTACATAGTGTCTGCCTTCTCCTTTGCCTATATCTGACAAAATAATTGTCCAGTCATGTTAATTACTTTCTCTCATTTTGCTTTGAAAACAGCTGTTGTATACTGGGCACAAAATGCTTGCTATTAATAAATGTGCCCTTCAAAGAGCAGATTAGTAAAATTACACTTTAATTACAAAATAACTTCACTTGGTTTTATATTAAAGGTTACTGAAATTTTTTGGCAGAAGTTGTTTTTTTTAAGACAGAGATTGTGCCTATTTTGGTTTGTTTCTACAGCTTCACAACCTTTGCATTTCTTCCTGCAACTGGCAGATATAAATAGAGGACACAGTTCACAAAAATAAAAATACTGAAATAATTGCAACAAAAAGATCTGTACTGGATCTGCCAGTGTGATTAAAAGGAAAGAAATTCCACTGAATATAAATGCCAGTGCCATTAGAAGTGTATCTGTTATTGCAACAAGGCAGTAGCTGACAAGGGAAGATGAGGGATCTCATTCTCAGAGAAGGTGGGAATTCACCGCACTGGCAAGAAACACAGTACCCACGTCAATAAAGAATGGCAAGGTAGTTTCCTCCTATGTGGGAGAAATGCCAGAATCTGCTGCTACCTGATGAGGGCTTCAAAACCTATGTCCTTCTGCTTTAAGACTTAAGCAAAAGGGAACTGGAACCCGGGAATGGTCAGATCCGAATCCCTACAGAACAGTCATCTAAACAAGCCAACAGGACAGTACAGTCATGCTTATTTCTCTCTTTGCCCATTATATTCTGGAAGTATTTTGCCATCATTTATTCATAGGTGCTAGAGACACTAATGGATGGAAGGGATACACATGCATAGACTGCCTCTCTAAATGGGTGCATCAAGAAAAAACTTTTGATCAATTGCTTTTGTAATTTGTACATATAGGCAAATATGGGCACGACATAAGAAATAGTGAGGTCTTATGTTTTATGGTATTCAAAAGGCACATTGTGTGATCTGAACCCATTGGTTACTCATATGTTAGAAAAAGAAATACATCTTCCACTTCCAGAGGTCAAAAATAAAACAAAGCAATTGATAGGTTGGTATAATTCCAATCTTTCCTATACCAGGTATTATCTTATAAGGTCTGTAAATACCATCTCATGATGCACTGAATAACATATCAAACATGTTCTTCTCTGCTATTTGTCTACTGCCTTCCCCCAGATAAAAAATGTGTAATTCTCTTTTCACAGTGATGCTCCTGTTCAACATACATGTATAAACAAAGGACTGGTTTTGTGATGCTTCCTGGTTTCTGTCCTGGTGAGTACCTTGTCGCTAAGTAACCTCTCCTTCATGAGGACCAGCTTTATTGTGGCAAAGAGAAGGAATGCTTGAGGGTTATTCTGAAGATGAAGGGACTCTTTAGGAGTTCCCGACCCATCTGACAGTGTATAAATTTTGAATTTTCCATGGTAAACCATGGGAAGCCAACAAAGGGAGTAGAGGACAGGAGAAAGACAGAGCAGTGTTTCTCCTCATCCATTTCTTATCCCTTCTTATTCCATTTCCAGATCCTGCCCACTTAGTATCTGCCCAGCACCAGTTTTACACAATCACAAATATCATCTTGGGGCAATTTATACTGCTCTATTAGCTACACTTTCAGAAACAAATCTGAACGTGTGTACTGTGCCAAGATTTTCACCACTGCAAACTTTAAGCCCTCTTTTTAACCTGTGATGCCAGATGCTGGTTTAGTCCAGCATGGTGATTGCTAAAGAAGTTGTTGAGGTCTTTCTGAGTCCAGAAAAGGAGCAGACAGTCAGAGACCATCTCTTTGCAGGCAGGAATTCAAGGATGTTTTGCCAAGGTGAGGCCATCCATCAAAACCTTTTGCTAATTACACTGCTAAATATCCAGAATTCATCTGAACTTAATGAAGCTACTCAGAATTTATATTGCTGAAATGGGGAGCAGAATTTGGCCCACTATAATCAAGAAATGAACCATTCTGGTTACAAAGCACATGCCTACTCACTTAGACTGTTGGTAAGAATATGCAGGCGCATGTTCACTGGATGTTTCCACTGTCATCTGTTGCTGTTGACCACTGGCTTCCTGTGACGAAGATGCTACTGTCTGTGGAGAAGTATCAGCAACAACACCCTAGGGAATCAAATGAGAACATGAAAAACACTAATTTTACTCAATACAGTGAATTACATAAAAGGGCTTAGCACCACCTCACCATTCCTGTATTTCTCTAGAGGCCAAGGGAGTTTGATAGCAGAACCACATAATAACTCAAAAAGCTCCATCAGTTTTAGAAAACTAATCCAGCAACAAGAAATTTCCTTTCTGTAGTAGTCCCTGTAGCACTGTGCTCTCACAGGCTGCAGTGGAAAATACCTCCACCTTTGAGGGCAGTTCCCTTCCCATTCAAAGCCAAAGGCAAAAATTCTGACTTTAGTGGACTCTAGATTCTACCTCTTATCTTTTTTTTTACAAAACATGCATGGGTTTTTTTTCTGATTTTTCACTTACCTAGCCCAACTTCTCAGTGAGTTCACATTTATTTCGTTTGATTTGCAATGTGATAAAAGCAGAAACTAGGCCCACTGCTTTCTGCTTTACCAAACATCCAACAAAATTTTAGCTACCTTAAAAAAATGCATACACCTGTTATGTATTTTCCTTTAAAAAATAAATTTAATTAATATTAGAGACTTCTACCTGTTAAGTCAAAGCACCAATGAAGTTTTGTTTTATTTCTATGTTTGCAAAAAAAAAGATAAGTAAACACACAAAAGATAATATGTATGATTTTAACATTATGCACTGTTTCTTACCCTAGTTAGACAGCCTGAATATTATTTTTAAGTATCTTTGTAGGCTTTCAAAGTAAGATGTATTTTCTTCCCTTTGCTCTCATGCTTGGTGTGTTGGTCGCATGAATAAGACCAGCAGTTCTCTTCAGGGAACATGCTTTATTACTTTATTGCACACAACAGAGCCAGAAGAGGGAGCACAAAGCACTTGCCTTGTTTTTTATTTGAGGCCTGTGTAAACAACAGGTAGTTAATTTTAAATTATCTGTAAAGATGTTTCAGTTTTCAGGAATTCTTCATATCTCTTGATTAATAAACTGTCAATATAATCTTTTTCTATCTACTCTTCTCTTTATCCTTCTGCTTTTTTTCGTCTTATCTTGAGACTGTAAGCTCTCTGGGGCAGAGACTGTATTTTTTGGTCTCTGCTTGTGAAGCATCCAGCATAGTAAGGTTCTGGTTCATGATGCAACATGAATACAGATAAACATTAACAATAATCATCAACACTGAAGCAGAGGAAGACAGGCTATATATTGAGATAATATTTTGGTTATTATATTAAATAATTATGACCTCATGTTACTTTAGCAGGTATCCAGTATGTGATGGAGTTCTTCAGAAGAAGAATTAATTTGTCATTCATACTGGTCAGCACAGTATGCAGCCAGAACTTCTGTATGAGACACTCTCCATCCCATCATCTCCTTTTAATGTGGACTTGTATCTGCTCAGCTGAATACCCAAGAATGGCAATTGGAAGGAAGCACCCATGGCTTGTTCATAAAGAAACAAGGTTTAGGGCAAAATTATCCAGAGGCAAAAGACTAAAACATGACCAGCTCAGTATGACAGAACAGTAGTAGCCTTTCCTGTGGGATCTCATTTGGGAATCTTAGTAATTGCAAAGAAACAGGAGAAACCAGGATGAATCCACTTGACTGTTGGTGGAGCCATGGCAACAGTACCACTAGCTCAGCACCCTCAAAACACAGAGCAGTAATAGCACAAACTCCACAGTCCACACAACAAAAGGCAGAAGCAAAAAGATCCTGGCATTCCTCACATTACCCCAGAGTAGGGGAGAAGTTATTAATAAAAGAAAGTAGCACCAAGAAGAAGCACACAGGAAAGAGGATGCCAATGCTCCCTCCTCACGCTGTGCTCAGCGGCCCTTCACAGAAGCTTCACAGAAGTGGAGGCCAAGCTGACACTCTACGGCAGCTTGTGGTCTCCAGGGTTGACTAAATACTTACTCATTAGACTGTCATCAGCAGGACTCAGCCCCAAGGAGGGAGGGAGCGAATCCTTCCTCAAGGATGAAAAGCACTCAGTCAGTGCAGCATCCTCCACGTCTGTATATACAAGAGGAAGGTTTCCATTGCTCAATCACTTTTTCTGGTGGCTAAATGTTTCAGCAATTACCTATACTTGCTAAGGACTGTATCAAACCCTCTTGCAATCTTCTCTTCTTGGAATCTCTTTTGGGTTTGTGGTCTGCCTGCTGGGTTTGTTTTACTGTCTCCTTCCATCTCCCTCCAAAGTACATGGGAAAAAAATAGTCATAATCACTGATGTTTTTATTTCTTGTCCTGCTGTACAACAAAACAAATGCAAAACAATAGCCCTTGCAAATAGTTAAAAGAAAAAAAAAAAAACAACAACAAAAGGGGGGTGGGTGAGCAGTGAAACAAGCAGAAGAGAAAAAACTAAACAAAGAAAAGAAAAATAAATGCACCATCCTAATTTAAAAAGCTGAAAGCTTCCAGTCACCATTTTATTAAGCAATATTAGCCCCCTTTCAAGCAAGATGTGCAAGGAGGTATAATATGTAACAGTTCTGCTACCCTTTCACTTGATTTTCATGGATGGAGATAAACTTACTTCAATAGGGACAGCTGTTGGAGGCACAGGAGTGTACTGGGGAATGTAGGTCCCTTGCATAGGTGCAGCAGCAGTCATGTACTAGAACAAATCAAAGGCACATGAACATTAGTGAATCACAATCGAGATACATAAAACCATATTAGATGAACAACACTTTCCATTTCCTCTTAAGTGTTTTTTTTTTTTTTTTTTAGTGTATAGTCTATTATTGCTTCTAGTTAAAGATTTTAGGCAATGGTAGGGATTACCAAGCTATCAAAAATCATAATCTTGAACTTCAAAGTCAGGCCATATCTGAATATATGCAACTGTAAATATCTTGCTGATAGGCTCAGATTGCTTACATGGTTCCTCGGATCGAGAGACTCCTATTTGTACTTAAAAAACCCACCAGCAGACACATCATAGCAGCATGTATATAGTGGTTACAGGGGCAAAACCAGTCTAAATCTTCTGGAATGTCATTGATCTTATCTAATGACACCTACAAAAAATGAAGCAAGAAATTTGACAGGTTTATTCCAGTCTATATTTAACCCTATCAATAACAGCAGCTGAGTTTACAGGGCTACAAAGCTGCAGGAAGATGCAAAGGCAGGAAAAATAAAGGAAGAGGAAGATGTAGCTGAGAATTTCTCCTTTTGTACACAGAATCCCCAGCTAAATTCTTATATCTTTTTCTTAATATTCAGGGATCTTTTCTATGCATTTTTAAACTTCTGCAAATTATTATTAAAGAAACAGTTTGTATTAGCTTCTCTGAAATACTGTCTCTCAAGCACTACAAGACAGTCTTCTCTAAAATTCATGAGTGTGTGTGCATTTTGCCACTGGTATGGCACTAAGCTTTTTACACACAACACTTGTTAAAAAGCTCTTGAACTGAATGCAACAGATATTTTTTCAAATCTTCAAATAAAGTATCAATACTGAGTCATCAGATCTATATGTACTTTTCTTCCTACAATCCAGTCCTAACTGCATGTCTTCACTGACAAGAATCACAGAATGCGCCCAGTCCCACAACTGACTGTATGACACTTCCACTACGTGTTATCTTCAAAGACACACTGAAGATCTGAATCAGCCCAGAATGCATTTGATGACTTTTAAAATGAGTTAAACAGAGTTTTGCTTCCCGGCAGAGCTAGGAAGTGCTTGCAAAATTTTATTCCACTGTTTACAGTAAAATTTACATATAAAGCACACTCTCACCTCAATTTTAAACTAACTGGATGGCTTGATGTGCCTGGCACAAAGAGGCATTATGAAATTGCATAGTGGGGTACAGACTCTGCGGCAGTGCTGCAGAAATACCTTAGGGAATGTGAATGGCATATTTAAGAATCCCATAGCTAAATTCTGACGTCTTCATTCAAACAGAAGGAAAAAAAAAAACTTAAAGGAAATTGTTTTCTATTAAAAAGAATACCAGCAAGAACATAGGTGACATAGAATGTATACTTTTAATAAGAGTAGCATGTTGTGTTGAAAATTGTTACAATATTTTTGCTATAATTCATCATATTTTCCTTAACTGGAGAAAAGAGACAAGAGTGTTCCCAGTGTCTCTGTGTCTGTATCAGGCCATGTTTTTCTGCAATGCGTTTCCCATGTTCCTCAGAAAAAGAATTTAATTCAGCAAGTTTTTCATGAATGCTAACCCATCAATGACATTAGGCCAGCTACCTCTATTGCATTCTGTACAGTTGGGCTATTGTCCTGCCTTACAGGACAATACAGATCAGGAGGTAATGAGAACATCACAGCAGGGTGTTCCAGAGCTGCTTCTGCTTCATTCATTCTGCTTTGCAGTGTTGCTGTCACATGTTGGGTCCTACTGTGTAGCATTGTTCTAAATGTGCTAATATTTAACATTAATATGAAGCACTTATTCTTATAGTCCAGCAAAGACCTAAAAGGGTTTTAAACACCTACACAGCCCTGAAAAAATATATGTGTGTATATATATATATAAATGAAACACATTAATTTAAGGAATATAATGGCCTCATTCAACTTGGACTTCCTCAGTGTTCTCCCTTCAGCTCAGCAGAAGATTGATGCTCAGACTCTTACTGCTAAATCCTTTGGTGTTGCATTCTGTAGCACAATTGAAACTGTCCAGGTATTAACCGGTGTCTTCGCTAACTCTGCAAGCACTGCTCTTGGTAATTATGCAGTTTCTTTCTTCTGTTGTTATTGTTTACCTCTTGAGGCAGATTCTGATCTTACTTGGCAGACTGCTTCACACTCCTTCCTTCACTGCTACAAAATCCCTAAAGGAAACTACTTTGTTGACTTGACTTGTGTGTGACTGGTGGCTCTGGACAACCCCTGCCTGTCCTGCCCTTCCCAGACACATACATCTCCCCACACTCTCCTATTTTCATTTCTTTTTTTCCACAAATTTTAAGCAAATTCACTGTTTTAACACTGCTTTTCAGTAGCTTCCATACCCAACACTCACTGAGACCACTGGAGTCTGTATCTCTATCTGCAACCCCCACATAGTTCTGTAAAACAATGTTCTCTGGATGTGCTGGAGTTGAGTGTTGCCCATGCTGGCAGGTGGATAAGAGATTCAGAAATAATTGTGAGACTCAGAAGAAAAGTTAAACTTTTTATCTACCTTGCTCAGACCCACATAAGATGAAGATTCTGCTCTAAGGATATCCCTTAGCTGAGAGAGTCAGCAGCAACATGGGGACCACAGGTCCTGTAGATGTACATAGTCTGAATATGGCTTCCCATCTACCTCAGGAAACTAGTGTAACTTGGAAGAAGGCAGATGTCAAACAAAGAAGACATCTATGTCAGAAGACCATCATTGAGATTTATTTTCTCCATGAATCACACTCACTAAAATTCTTTATCCACATGTACATGTGAAAGAGAGACAGCATGACTCATATGCTCAATTTCGCAGTACCCAGCTAATTCCACAGAATATTATATTGTAAGCACCGAAATGAGAGAACCTGAAAAGTCCAAATTCATTCTTCCTTTGTCATATGCTTCCATCAGGATTAAAGATTCTTGAGCTGTAATGGGATCAGTCATTGAACAAAGTATGTGCAAGGCATAAGAAAACAGTGTTCATTCTTTCACAACTGTACAGTCTTTTTGAGTCTAAAAGTAGAAGCTGCTTATTTCTGACAGTAAAATGACTAGTGACTCTACAGGCACAGCTGATGCATCTGGGGGCTATAAGGGAGCTTGGCACTCTGATCCTTTAAAAGCTGGTGATTTCTACTACAGAAAGAAAAAAGAGACATTGCTGTTGGCAGCATGCTTTTAATTTGTTTGTTAACTATTATTTTCTTCATACAATATACAGAATGCATGCCCTCAGCACTGAGGATGTGCAGTATTATATAATACATGTTTTACAGTGCCTGACTGATTAATTCAGAATGAACTTATAAGGGCACCAAATAGTCTATGTGCTACATTAACAATTCTACTCCCACCTTGTCCAATGGAATTTTTGCTTTTACCTTTTTGAAATTTCTTAAATATGTCAAAATATAAATAGTTAGACAATAAGAGAGTAGTAATATACACTTACACCTCAGCTTTTCTTTCAGATATTATTCTCTATTATTACAATTAGTTAACTGAAAGGAGGTAGTGAATGGGGAGGTGGGTTGAGGGGACAAAATGAAACTGAGAAGCATCATGTTTAATCCAGAGAGCAACATCAGTTCTTACAGATCTGCAGACAGTGGAATAGTCCATCCTGGCTCCAGCAAGGCTCCTGTTAAGCCTGTAGCAAACGCTAAATCCATAAAGGTGGCAGGCATTGCACAGAGAAAACCAGAAGGAAGGCAGCTGCCTGCAGCAGGCAGAGTGAGGGAGCACGCTGCCATAGAATAACGCATTTCACCCAGGTGGAGCTGAATGGCCGGCGGGGGATTTGCAGGAGCTCTTACATCAAAACTACGGCACAGGTAATGTCCATTTATTTATCACTCTAGTAAGCCTCAGGCCTGCCCTTCTTGGGCCCAGGTTAATGCAGAGTGAGGCAAGCATCTAACCGCTGAAATACACAGCAAACATCTCTTACACCAGCTTCCCAGGAAGGAGCCAGACATTGTCTGGTGATGGGAAGTGGAGAATAAATCTTTGTTTTTTTTTCCTCTTCACTTCCGCACCATTGGATTCTCCAACACTGGACACTTTTAAGATTCAGCTGAACAGGGTGCTGGGCTATCTTGTCTAGACTGTGCTTTTGGCAAGAAACATTGAACCAGATGATCCTTGAGGTCCCTTCCAACCTGCTATTCAATGATTCTATGGTCATGTTTCTATGCTCTGGAGAGGGTACAGAACCTTTTCAGCCAAGGTGAGAGCCAAACTGCAGAAGCCTCGTACCTGTGTATGCTGGTAAACGTTTACACCGTAGCATCCGGCTTGATGGGAGATTAAATGGGACATCTTATGGGTAAATTCTAACCCCTGTTTCTTAAGTGGACAAGGATTCCAGAGTCTGGTCTTCAGTGGCTATTTGTGGTTTCATATCACTGCATGAGCTATAGCACAGTGATAATGACTTAGCTTTTTAGGCTTCTCAGAATTAATGCCAGGGTTTGTTTGTGGTTTGTTTTGTATTTTTTTTTTAAACCATCTGAGAAGTCTAGACACTGCATCACTAACAGAATTATGTGAAAACATTTGCATTGCTGGAAAACTGTAGAGAATGAGTCTGTTGGCTAGATTTATTTTTAATTTTTTTTTTTTTTTCCCCATGAAGGAAACCTGCCCTCCCACTTTCAAATCCCTCTGCTGAAAAGCACAAAATTTTCACCTCTCTTTGACCAGTGTGAAGTGTTTATAACTTTAATGAAATGTAGAATAAAACTGCTGCTTTTTTCCCCCTGGTTCCACCTTCTCATTTGAAAAAACCCTGTTCCCCAGTAGAAAAGAACATTGTCTTGCTGTGTCCTCTTATCTCATAGTCTGGCATGGAGATGTGGGAACTCAGGAAGAGAAAAGGACCATCCAGTTAATCAATGCCAGTAGCAGTTAAATGAAATACAATATCCAGCCACCAGAGTTTTTACTCGAAACTTCAA